TTCAGGTCTCAGATAGCGGCTTTACGCTAATAGCGGTTTTTATTTTAAAGATATTTTTAATGTATTAGAACACATGTACGATGTCATACAGGTTGGAATGTTTTAACAAGAATTGGTACCAAGAATTACACAGCATTTAAACAATTTTTTAACATTTTTATATTTTTATAAAACCCATCCAACCCTAACAATCCCTGTGCCTCCAAAGAAAAATAAATAAATGATTAATTAAATAGATAGATAAATGAATAAATAAATAAATAAATAAATAGATAAATGAATGAATAAATAAATACAAATTCATATTAATATTAATAATAATAATAATAATAATAATAATAAATACTAATGAATAAATAGTAATAAAAAATAATAATGAATAATAACAAAAATGATGATAATGAATGATAATAATAATAAATTATAATAACACTTTAAAATAAAAAATGTATCCCAAGATTAAAGTACTTTACGTTGAAGCCTGTTTACTACTGAGAGGGGAGATTTTGTCAAAATAACCCCGTAAAGGGTCCCATACTTTGTAGAATTTTTTGGTTGTACTCGTTTTCTGAAATTAGCCGGGCTTTCCCTTTCTGGCCTACATCAGGATTCATTTACGGCTTTAAACAAAAAAATAGAGCGATCACTTTGATTTTAGCTCTGATTTATAGTTATTCTTAGAATGGCTTCTGAAAGATGAATGAATTGACTGAAGGAATTAATGGAAAAAGATGGAAATCTTTCTTTTTTTCAGTTTCAATGTGATGCAAATTTCAGTAAAATCTTCATTGAGCCAACGATCCAAAGATTTTTTATTCCTTTTCCCCCCTTTGGATCGTCTGTTTCTGTCCAACAGGCCGGTTTTCCTTGTTGTTGGCTGGTGGTTAGCATCCTACTGTTTGTTCTTCATAATTACTTCCATTACCCCCCCCTCCTCCTCTTTATGGGAATGCATCCACTGGTGATGGGGCTCTGTGGATCTGTCTATTTCCTGGACTCTCTCCTCTGAGTGCTTTATGGAGGGCGGAAGTCTAACGATGTTCCACCTT